AAAAATAGATTTCCGATAAAAATTTTCAATTAAACTCGAGTGATCCTTAATAATCTTCATTAATTTTAAAAAGAGATAGATTCTATATTATCATATTTAATCGCTTTTAGGGATTGTAATTTCAATTTTGAACAGATTATGTATTAATCTCTTTACTTTTTCTTACAATGTTAAGTCAGTGCGTCTCTTTAGATGCATTGGAAAGGATTAAAGGATTAAGAGAAGCCAAATTGTCGGCAGACTGAATCGGATCTTCCCATTGCACTTCCATGCGATTAGCGATAAATAACTCTGTCAATGGCTTGCAGAAGATCCCGCTGGCATTATGAAAAGGTCTCCGAGAGCTCGCGAGTGCGTTATCGGACACGCGGTGGCGAATAAGCTGCTAGGTGTCGTCGTGTGTACGTGTATGCGCCGGCGAGGATGTGTTCGCATGCGTTATACCACGTTCAACACGGGCAACGTAGGGACAAGAGAGGCGATATATAATGTTCCGCGATATTAAACGGGACGCATTCCACCGAAGCCACCCTCTGATTCCTGCTATGAATGCTTCTACGACCCCCGTCTCCTGTCTCACCCCTCTGCCTGTCGCCCACCCCCTCGTCGACTGCTTCCGAAAAGCGGAACGAGGAAGAGAGAGATAGATAGAGACAGAGGACAGACCTGGCCTACTCGACCAGGACCACCCTCGAATGGTTATACGCCAAATTTACAGCTTAGCCAGTGCCACTACCACTAATATCACTGTGAACGCGGCATATATAGTCTCATGCCGTAGAGTTTCTCCCAACTGATACGTTCATCTATGTGGTTCAAGGATAAAACGAATTAACGAGAGCATTTTTCTTGCGTTTCCGATGACGCCAAGAAGACTGTATTCATAGTTCAGAAAAATTGTTTATTAATTTTGCGAGATTTGCGTGATTTTCACTTTCTTTTATTGAAATATACAGATAATGTAGAATTTAAAAATCATTTGTATTTTGCTTCTGCATTTTATGTCCATGTTTCTCATAACGTTTTTATTATAAATATTCCACAAGAGCTCCAAGACTTTTGATCTCTTTATCTTATTCTATTTATTCTAAAAATATCGAGATTGCATCGTGTTGATGATTAAGTATAAAGGATAAACAAATGATTCTGCATTTAACGAAAATTATACGATGTAATTTCTAAGAGCACCGGGGATTTACTGCACATACAATATAGTGCAAAACTAAACTCGTAAAGATGAGTCGAAAGATGGACGTAGATGGACGATCTCATTCTTGTGAATATCCGTCCGAAAGTTTCTTCATTCGTCGCGCTGTTGCACGTTGAGTGTTCTACATTACCCATAATTTTCATTTTAGTAGAATCTCGGTCAGATTTAGTAATTTAACAATTTAATTAATTAGTACACAATAGAGCAGTAACAAAATTAGAAAACTTTAGATGCATACTTAAACATTCCTTTAACAAAATTTATTTTGCTATATCGCTAATGTATTTTGCTAATTTAAACTGGAGAATTATACAGAAGTTATCTAGTTCTTGAGTTAAAAAATAGAAAGGAAGAAAGATAATGATGTTATAGCAATCATATTTGTAAAACGGTATAAAGATATCGCTCCCTTACTTCAAAAGTGATACAACTACCAAAATTATTGTAAATCTACCCGAAAGTGTGACATATGCATTTGCGTTAGTTTGCCTTACAACTGTATCTATTTTTGTATGTATTTTAATTATTACAATGTTTATATGTATAAGATATGAATTTAAAATATTTTCCAAGTGTCAAAAGAAGCTCTACTGCATAAAGAAATTAATATTATTATTTTACAGAAACTATATATCATTATATAAAATTAATCAAATGCTGTCTTAAGTATTGGCTTAGTAGAGATCTAAGCATCTACCGAATAATCCGGCCTATTCGACCGATGTTCGTTCCCAGCACTGTCCCTCTTTGCGGGCCGAAAATTTGTCGCGACTCGATCATTACTCAACGAGAGCCGGGAAATCTAGCACCGTAATATCTGACACCGAGCGGCGGCGCGGATAATAGAGAAGGATGCATACGTCCGCGATCTCGCGCGATCATAGTAGTGGCCAGGACATTCCGAGGTTTCGCCGGTGAGAGGCGTTCTCCCCCTCGAAGTTCCTGCACCCTATCACGGTCGGCCTGGTCATACCCTATCCTTCATCTGAACATTTCCATCCCCTGGGTAACCTCGATTCTCTTCTCTCCTCCCCTCTTCTTCGTTGCCAACAAGAGCACCGAATGCAATCATACGTCATCCGCCATGATCTATGTCTTCTGCCATTCTAGCGTCGCGCGCTCGATCTAGCACAAGCTCGTATGCACATGTTCACAGACACATATACACATGTACGTGTAGCTGGTACGTGCACGTGCGCAAGTACGCGACCGCATCTCGCGTCTCTATTAACCTACCGCTCATTTTCCGGCTGCATATGAGCATGTTCGCCGTTAGCCACGACCACCCGCCGGATGATTGCGGCTCGCTTCCGTGCATTTTCAGGAGAAACGTATATCCCTGACAGTTTGCCTATCTTTATGTGAAGCGTCGCAAACGTACATGTTCATTCACGTGACAATAGTACCTACATTTTGTGTTTCAAAATGTAAGTACTATTGTTTTTCCTAGCTTAACACGTGAATGAACATGTACGTTTTTTAACAATTATAAAAATTTATAGAAAAGAACTTCAGTATTATAGGAATAATATGAAGAAGAATATTACACTGAAAAAAATTTCTGGTTGAAAACGGACGAATCAGAATTTTCTAGTTAAATTTCTTAGAATTCTAGGTGAGATAACCGGAATTCTAATTGGTACAATATAGTATTTCTGGTAAAATCTACTAGAATTCGCATTTTTACCAGAATAATTATATTAATCAGAATTCTAGTTATCTCAACTAGAATTCTAGCAGATTTAACCAGAAAATTCTGATTCGTCCATTTTCCACCAGAATTACTATTTAATCCAACCAGACCATTTTTCTCAGTGTATATATGTATATGAAGAGTAATGCGTTTTTTTAATATGTATAAAAATGGTGAATATCAAGGAGAAAGACGAAGAAGAATTTTGATCATAAAATAAAACGTATAGACGAGAAAAAGAAATATATATTGAATATATGTGTTATTGTATAATAATAATATAATTTTTATAAAAATGTGGTAAAAGTGTTTTCGTTTACTCATTTCTTTAATTTCCATTATATCGACCAAAAATTTTTTTTAATTTATTGGAAAAATTAATTTATTGGCTACGTTCAGTAGAAAAAACAGCTTTGCAACTGTTGTAAAATTCTTTAATATTGGTCTTATCCTTAGTTCTTCACTGGATCTAAATGTATAAACTAATCATATTCAACAATTTTACAACAGTGTCAAACTGCTTTTTCTGCTGAACGCAGCCATTGATTGTTTATCGTATTCAACACCTATTTTTTAAAGTGGCTGAAAACAAATTTTATTGATAAAAAAGTGAAATATGTATTTAAATATGTGTATTAAAATAAAATACTAAGTATGATAAAGAAAATTTTCAATGAGAGCTCAGCATAATAAATTAATCCTAATGCAATAATTTTTCTCGAAAGTAATCGTTGCCGACTTGCTTCTTGAAGAGAAAAAGAGACGCTCAACAGTCAGCTGTCTCAAATCTGTTGGCCCACTAAGTAAGCCGAACAATCCCCAACTTTCTCTCCCTTAGCCTTTCCCCCAAATGCATAAAGTGGAACGCGTAACACGAATATCTGCGTATAATTAACAATTACCCGTCTCTTGATTCTCCGAGAGCCGTGGAATGGCCGGTACATGCGCGCAGGCCCCCGCGAATGATTCTCCGATGAATTTCGTCATTGCGACGAATGCC